GTTGCACTTCAGAAGGTCGGGGAATAGTGGATAGAAATCATTTCAGTTATAATGTGATCCTTTATGTGACAACGTTTCGCCCACACAGTGGGCTTTTTTATGTCACAACCAGATCTACCTGGGGTGGAAGGTACGCGAGTATTTATAGTCAGGTTCAGCTATGTTGTAGAAGCCATTAGTCTGGTTGAAGTTGTAGGGTAAAGAGATAAGCGATGATTCCAGGATTCTTCGGTATTGAGTGTTGTCTTCTGTGGCGATAAGGCTTGAGTTTCTGTAGTTTATTAAGAGGTTGTGTGAATTACGGTGTCGAACACAAGCATTCCTTGTATCGTCAGACCTGCTTGCGTATTGGTGTTCTGAAATACGTGTTTGGAGGTCCCTTGATGTTTCGCCCACGTATAATTTGCTGCAGTCATTACAAGGGATTATGTATACCCCTGCAGAGGATGGAAGCTTGTCCTGTCTATTACTGGTAATGTCCTTGATGGTCGTGGTTGTGGAGGTAGATACTTAGAATAAGGTATTGGAAAAGATGTTGAAAACGTGTTTGGCAATGGAGTTGGAGTTGGAGTATCTCTTCTCGGCAGTGTCTTCTCTGGGTGTGTTGAAGATGTTTAATGCCCGCCGTCTGCAGTCTCTGATGAAGTGACGAGGATAGTGGAGTTCAGAAATTACTTGTTCAATTATAGTGCATTCTTCCTCAAGAAACTCATTGCTGCAGATTCTGAGTGCGCGCAGGAAGAAGCCTATAATTACACCACGGTTAGGTTTGGTGTCGTGGTGAGAGTAGAAGTGGAGAAGATCGTTTTGGTTGGTGGGTTTTCGATAGACTTTAAAACGAAGTTCGTGGTCAGCTTTGCAGAGCAGAACATCAAGGAAAGGAAGAGTGTTGTCGACTTCTTCTTCAAGTGTGAACTGGATTGAAGGCTCGACTTGGTTGAGCTTGTCTTGGAGAGCTTGAACGTTGGAGCGTTTAGGAGTTATGAGGAGAATGTCGTCAACATAATGGAGCCAAGTGACAGACGAAGGAACAATGGTGGAGAAACCCACGGCTTCTAGATGTTCCATGTTCCGAGCGTTTCTCCACCATTATTCCATCGTCTGTCACCTGGCTCCATTATGTTGACGACATTCTCCTCATAACTCCCAGGCGCTTCAACGTTCAAGCTCTCCAAGACAAGCTCAACCAAGTCGAGCCTTCAATCCAGTTCACACTTGAAGAAGAAGTCGACAACACTCTTCCTTTCCTTGATGTTCTTCTCTGCAAAGCTGACCACGAACTTCATTTTAAAGTCTATCGAAAACCAATCAACCAAAACGATCTTCTCCACTTCTACTCTCACCACACCAAAACTAAACGTGGTGTAATTATAGGCTTCTTCCTGCGTGCACTCAGAATCTGCAGCAATGAGTTCCTTGAGGAAGAATGAACTATAATTGAACAAGTATTCTCTAAACTCCACTATCCTCGTCACTTCATCAGAGACTGCAGACTGCGGGCATTAAACATCTTCAACACACCCAGAGAAGACACTGCCGAGAAGAGATACATAGTCCTCCCCACCAACTCCATTGCCAAACACGTTTCGAACATCTTTTCCAATACCTCATTCCAAGTATTTACCTCCACAACCACGACCATCAAGGACATTACAGTAATAGACAGGACAAGCTTCCATCTTCTGCAGGGGTATACATAATCCCTTGTAATGAGTGCAGCAAATTATACGTGAGCGAAACATCAAGGGACCCCCAAACACGTATTTCAGAACACCAAAACGCAAGCAGGTTTGACGATACAAGGAATGTCTGTGTACAACACCGTAATTCACACAACCACTTAATAAACTAGAGAAACTCAAGACTTATCGCCACAGAAGACAACACTCAATACCGAAGAATCCTGGAATCATCGCTCATCTCTATAACCAACAATTTTAACCAGAACAATGGCTTCTATAACATAGCTGAACCACTTGCCAAGAAACTTCTTCATCGCTATCCCACGAAATACCATAGGAATGGAAGAACACTGCAGAAGGTCTGCTCACAAATTTATCCAATCTCCCTTCCAAGCTACCCAAGATTTAAGACTCTATAACCCCACTCGGTACATTATCAGATGCAGCATTCTCCATCTGACCTCAACATTTTGAACCTGACTATAAATACTCGCGTACCTTCCTCCCCAGGTAGATCTGTTTGTGACTTGAAAAAGCCCACTGTGTGGGCAAAACGTTGTCAATAAAGGATCACATTATACTGCATGTGTTTATATTTCCATTGTGTCGGTATTTTATACAATTTATTACAACTATCCACAGATGATAATGGTGGTGACACTCTACACAGGTGATAATGGTGGTGACGCTGAACGCAGGTGATAATGGTGGTGACACTGTATACAGGTGATAATAGTCGTTACACTGTTCACATGTGATAATGTTGGTGATAATGCATACTGGTGATAATGGTGGTGACACTGTACACAGGCGATAAAGTTGTTGGCACTATACACAGGTGATAATGGTGGTGACACTGTGCACATGTGATAATGGTGGTTACAATGTAAGCAGGTGATAATATTGGTGAACCTGTACACAGGTGATAATCGTGGTGACAGTGCATTCAGGGGATTATGCTCGTGACCATGTTCACAAGTGATAATGCTATTGGCACTGAACACTGGTGATAATGTGGTGACACTGTACACTAGATATAATGTTGGTGACACTGTACACAAGATATAATGGTGGTGACACTGTACACAGGTGATAATGCTGGTGACACTGTACAGAGGTCATAATGGTGGTGACACTGTACACAAAATATAATGGTGGTGACACTGTACACAGGTGATAATGGTGGTGAAACTGTACATCGGATGTAATGGTGGTGACACTGTAAAGAGGTGATAATGGAAGTGACACTGCAAATGTGAAAATGGTGGTGACACTGCATACAGGTGATAATGGTGGTGACACTGTACACAGGTGATAATGGTGATGACACTGTACACAGGTGATAATGGCGGTGACACTGTGCGCAGGTGATAATGGTAGCGACACTGTACACATGTGATAATGTTGGCGACACTGTACATAAGTGATAATGGTGGTGACACTATACACAGGCGATAATGGTAGTGACACTGTACACAGGTGATAATATTGGTGACACTGTACACAAATGATAATGGTGGTGACATTGTACCCAGGTGATAATGATGGTGACACTGTACACAGGTGATAATGGTGGTGACACTATACACAGATGATAATAGTAGTGACACTGTACACAGGTGATAATATTGGTGACACTGTACACATTTTATGATCGTAGTGACACTCTACACAGGTGACTTTGGTGATGACACTGTACGCAAGTGATAATGGTGGCAACACTGTACACAGGTAATAATGGTGGTGAAACTCATTCTAGGTGATAATGGTCGTAATGCTGTACACAAGTTATATTGGTATTGACACTGTTCACAGGTGATAATGGTGGTGACAATGTACTTAAGATATAATGGTGGTTGCACTGTAAACAGGTGATAATGGTGGTGACACTGTACACAGGTGATAATGGTTGTGACTCTGTACACAGTTGATAATGGTGGTGACACTGTAAGCAGGGGATAATGGTGGTGACACTGTACACAGGTGATAATAGTGGTGACACTGTACACACGTGGTAATGGTATTGGCACTGTACACAGGTGAAATATGGTGACACTGTACACAGGTGATGATGGTGACACTGTACACAAGTGATAATGGTGGTTACTCTGTACACAAGTGATAATGGTAGTGGCACTGTACATATTTTATGACACTGTACGCAGATGATAATGGTAGTGGCACTGTATGCAGGTGATAATTGTGGTGCCACTGACCACAGGTGCTGATGGTGGTGACACTGTACACAAGTGATAATGGTTTTGACACTGTTTACAGTTGATAATGGTGTTGACACTGTACACTAGTGGTAATGATGGTTACACTGAACACAGGTGATAATGGTAGTGACACTGTACACAGGTGATAATGGTAGTGGCACTGTGTACAGGTGATAATTGTAGTGGCATTGTACACAAGTGATGATGGTGGTGACACTATACACAAGTAATAATGGTTGTGACACTGTTCACAGGTTATGGTCGTGGTGACACTGATCACAGGTTTACAATGGTGGTGACACTGTACACTGGGAATAATGATGGTGACACTGTACATAAGTGATAATGTTGGTGATACTGTACACAGGCGATAATGGTGGTGACACTGTGCACAGGTTATGATTGTGGTGACACTGTCCACATGTGATAATAGTGGTGACACTGTCCTCATGTGTCAATGGTGTTGACACTTTACACAGGTGATAATGGTGGTGACACTGTACACAGGTGATAATGGTGGTGATACTGTACATAGGTGATAATGGTGGTGACACTGTACACAAGTGATAATTGTGGTGACTCTGTACACAGGTGATAATGGTAGTGGCACTGTACACAGGTGATAATGGTTTTGATACTGTACACAGGTGATAATAGTGGTGACACTGTACACAGGTGATAATGGTTGATCAGGCTCTGATCCACCAGGAGACCTGGTCACAGACCGGACCGCGGGGGCGTTGACCCCCGGAACTCTCTCCAGGTAAACTCCAGGTGGTGACACTGTCCACATGTGCCAATGGTAGTGACACTGTCCACATTTGATAATGGTGGTGACACTGTATACAGGTGACAATGGTGATGACACTGTACATATGTTATAATGGTGGTGACTGTACACATGTGATAATTGTGGTGACACTGTACACAGGTGATGATGGTGGTGACTCTGTACACAGGTGATAATGGTGTTGACACTGTCCACTGATTATGATCGTGGTGACACTGTTCAGAAGTGATAATGGTGGTGACACTGTGCACAGGTGATAATGGTGGTGACACTGTGCACAGGTTATAATGGTGTTGACACTGTCCACAGGTTGATGATCTTCGTGGGATGAGTGAGAGCATCAAGAGACTGGTGGAGGCTGGCCTGGTGTTTGGTGTTCAGCAAGACAAAAATAACCTCTGCTTGTCCAGGATAACTTTAGGAGATGGTCAACTGTATCTCCACACTCTCCAGCGCTACCCTCTACCCACCAGTACTATCCAGGTACTTTATCACACTACCACTCTTACTGTACCACCACACTTTCCAGGTACTTTGTTACACTATCACTCTTACTGTACCACCGCTCTGTCCAGGTATTTTATTACACTACCACTCTTACTATACCACCACACTGTCCAGGTATTTTATTATACTACCACTCTTACTGTACCATCACCCTATCCTGGTACTTTATTTCACTACCACTCTTACTGTACCACCCACACTATCCTGGTACTTTATTTCACTTCCACTCTTACTGTACCACCAGTACTATCCAGGTACTTTATTACACTACCACTGAGATGTTAGGTGTAGATGAACGTGTATCAACCATAACCATAACAGTTCATCTGTTTCTTTACATCCTCGGCCTCTCTCTCTCTCCTCTCTCATTTACTCGTTCTTTCTTTCTCGTGTATTCGTTTTACCTAGTTTACTCACTTTTCACCCTATGTTAAGACTACAAATATTATAAAGTAATTAAAGAATTTGCTGTATATGCATTTTATCGCTCAAGGGCGCTTTAAATGTCGTGGTATATTACATGTTGGTGGGGTGGGGTGGGTTGCCCTGGCTGGCTGCCATACTTCACACACCTGACTTCCTACAAATAAATACGACTCACCTCTCACCCTACATTAAGGCTGCAAATATTTTAAGGTAAGTAATAGGAACATAAAATGGAGGAACACTGCAGAAGGCCTACTGGCCCATACAAGGCAGGTCCTTATCAAAACGACCCCTACTCAAAGCTTCCCAAGAATGTCCTTCCCTACCCAATGACACCTATCAAACCCAGCCCCTCCCACTCATATATTTGTCCAATCTCTTTTTAAAGCTACCCAAGGTCCTAGCCTCGATCACCCTACTCGGAAGATTGTTCCACGCATCCACAACTCTGTTAGAAAACCAGTACTTACCTGTGTTCCTTCTAAATTTATATTTAACCAACTTAAATCCATTATTCCTAGTTCTTACCTGGTTCGACACCCTCAGTTCTTTATTAATATCACCTTTGTTTCTTCCCATCATCCAGTTATACACTTCAATGATATCTCCCCTCACTCGACGTCTCTCCAGAGAGTGGAGATTCAAGGCTCTAAGTCTGTCTTCATACGGGAGGTTCCTTACACAGTAAATCATTTTAGTCATTCTTCTCTGTATGTTCTCCAATGAGTCTATATCCATCCTGTAGTAAGGGGACCAAAACTGAGCAGCATATTCTAAATGAGGTCTCACTAGTGATGTATAGAGCTGTAAAATAACTTTCGGACTTTTGTTACACATGTAGGGTTTTTCTTCTTTTTCTTAATAGTTCTTGTTCTTTTTCTCTGTCTATTGTCCATGGGGAAGTGGAAAAGAATCTTTTCTCTGTAAGCCATGCGTGTCGTATGAGGCGACTAAAATGCTGAGAGGAATGGGCTAGTAACCCCTTCTTCTGTACACATTTACTAAAAATCAGAAGAAGAAAAAAATTATAAACCTGGGATGCTTGAATGTGCGTGGATGTAGTGCCGATGACAAGAAAGACATTATTGCTGATGTTATGAATGAAAAGTTGGATGTCCTGGCCCTAAGCAAAATTCCAGATGTTAATAAGCCATTTTGTTTAAGGACTAATGCGTCCAATACCGGCTTAGGTGCGGTGTTACTACAATTTATTTATTTATTTATTTATTATAAATTTGAGCACACATACAGAGGTACAAAAAAATACAGATAAGAGCAGCATGCCAAAGCCACTTATACTATGCATAGCATTACGGGCTGGCTTAAAATTAACTTAAGATTAACTAAGCAATGATGAAGTCAGTGATAAAACATTAATGTAAACAGATTACTATAAAGCACAAGTGAGTATTACAAAGACAGGTCATATGGTTGCATTCATTCAGTCATATGAAGGATTCTGTTAGGTAGTGTATTTAAAAAATAATAAAGTTAGATTCGGTTTTAGGTTTAACATTTATGTGATATAATTGTGAGAAACATTTAAGATATACAATTTATAAGGTTCAGTTATTCAGTATTTATTTGGTTTTGGGTGAGTAAGTGATCTTTGAGAAGAGACTTGAATTTATAAACAGGTAGTGTTTCTTTTATATTTACAGGTAATGAATTCCAGATTTTAGGGCCTTTTATGTGCATTGAGTTTTTGCATAGTGTGAGATGAACACGAGGAACATCAAAGAGTGATCTGTGCCTTGTGTTATGGTCATGTGTTCTGTTGAGGTTGGCAAGGAGATGTTTGAGGGGAGGGTTAATATCAGAGTTAAGTGTTCTATGTATGTAATAGGTGCAGTAATAAGTATGGATGTTTTGTATGGTGAGTAGGTTTAGTGTATTGAATATTGGTGGAGTGTGCTGCCTGTAGTGAGAATTTGTTATCATTCTAACTGCAGCCTTTTGTTGGGTAATTAGTGGTCTGAGATGGTTAATTGTTGTTGAGCCCCATGCACAAATTCCATAGGTGAGATAGGGGTAAATAAGAGAGTGATATAGGGCCAGGAGGGCTGACTGTGGAACATAGTACCGTATCTTCGATAGTATGCCTACAGTCTTGGAAATTTTCTTAGAAATTTGTTGTATATGCGTGTGAAATTTGAGTCTATTATCAAGGTGGATTCCTAAGAATTTTCCCTCTGTTAGCTTTGTGATAGGTGATCCGTTTATCATTATGTTAAGAGGGACATCTGTAGCTCTGTTACCAAACTGAATGAAGTAGGTTTTGTCAATGTTTAGTGTAAGTTTGTTAGTCCTCATCCAGGTAGATATTTTCTGTAATTCGGTATTTACAGTATTGGCTAGTGTGACTGGGCTCGGGTGAGAGAAGACGTATGTAGTGTCATCTGCAAATAGTGTGGGTTTGAGTAATTGCGAAGCATTTGGAAGGTCATTTATGTATAGGAGAAAGAGAAGAGGGCCAAGGACACTTCCCTGTGGGACACCAACTGTAATTGGTTGCGCAGAAGAGTTTGCCCCATTTGCGTACACATATTGGCTTCTGTTGCTGAGGTATGACTTGAGGTAGTTGAGGGAGTGCCCTCTTATACCATAGTGTGACAATTTTACGTGGAGCAAGTCATGGTCAACTGTATCAAAAGCTTTACGTAAGTCAATGAAGATCCCCAGTGGGACTTCTTTTTTCTCTATTGCAGTGTATATATGTTCTAGCATGTGTATAATAGCATCATTAGTATTTTTATTAGGCCTGAATCCAAATTGGCAGGGGTTGAGTATGTTTTGGGAGATAAGGTAGGAGTAGATTCGTTTATGAATTAATTTTTCGAAGATTTTTGAGAGGGGGTGTAAGTTGGATATTGGCCTATAGTTATTCAACTCTGTTTGGTCTCCTCCTTTGTGGATCGGGGTGACCCTTGCTATTTTGAGTACTGTAGGGAAGGTGGAGGATTCAATGGATTTGTTAAAGAGTGTTGCAATGATTGGAGATAGCACTTGTGACACTTTTTTGTATATAAAGGGTGGTAAGGTACTTAAATCTCCTGCCTTGTTTTTTAGTGCATTGATAATAAGGGAGACTTCGTATGGGTTAGTCGGAGCTAGGAACAATACCATGATGGTACTCCCTTCCCAGTATGCTTCCTAAGCCGGAAACTTCTTCCCGCAGAAACGAGATACTCCACCAGAGAAAAGGAATGTTTGGCCCTTGTGTGGGGTATCTCCAAGCTTAAATTTTATTTACTGGGAAAAGAATTTATTTTAGAGATGGATCACAAACCTTTGATATACCTAGAAACTTTTAAGGGAACCAACAGTCGCCTCTTGAGATGGACATTGGCACTCCAAGCTTTTAAGTTCCATATTGTGTATATCAATGATTCATCCAATTATTTCTCTGACTGGTTAAGTCGTGACAGTCAGTAGAAGATTTGTTGCCTTACGCGGCTTCCATATGTTAGAACTTTTTCCTCACCTATTCTTCTTATACTTCTTGACTGTAAGTCTTGGTATGGGGGAGTGTGAGGGAAAAGTTCAACAGATAGGAGTAGCGAGCATGTATATGGTAACGATAGTTTGATTGCCGGCTGCTTGTTAAGGTAAGGTCAGTCTAGCTCCCGCTATCCCCCCCCCCTTTCTCCCCACCCCGAAAGGTGACGTGTGGGGCTCCGGCCAAACAGTAATCACTCACAGCTCCCAGCACAACTGTAAGTAAAAGCCTCTGCTCCTATTCTAGTGGATATTGGTTGAAAGCTTCACTTTTGACCAATAATAAACTTTGTCCTTTCAGTTTTAAGCTCCACATGAGACTTAGATAATCACCACCTTTTTTAAGTATCTTACACTTATCATGGAGAGTGATTTCTTAAGCAGTGGGTAACCTGTCTCTCTTTCCAGCTTGGAATGACAGATCAGGTCACCTGCCAACCAACGATAAGTGTTGAAGGAGACGGACTGAAACCGGTCTTGGGACGTAACCTTATGATCTACCTACCTGAGTAAGTGTACAGGACACTACCCCTCATCTTTGTAGTGGTAAAGAACCTGCGTTCCTGTCATCAGGACTGACTATTCAAGGCTGTAGACTCTGTGAAGAACTAGTCGTTGGGTTGTCACCAACACCTGTGACCCCCCACATCATCAGCAACGGCTACAATTTCTACAAGACGGTGTCAACCTCCACCAGACACCCCTGTATAACTGTACATATTAGCGTTGAGTTCAAATGTCATTTTTCCATTTCATTTTTCATTTTTCTTTCAAGTAGGATACACCTTCATTTTTTAATGTTTTATCTTTGCATTACTAAATAATAAAGTGTTTATTTTTGTGAATTATTATTTCTTTTTCTATTCATTAATTTTCCTGAGGAGGAGCCAGCCTTGGTAATACTGTCTGAAGTTGTTACAGGGCTGAGTAAGCCTTCACAGTAGGCGAGTTTCAGTGGGGAGAAATAAATGGGATTAAGTCAGGAGTATCTGAGAGAGTTAGAGCTATGGAAGGGGTAGCAATAATGTTGAAGGGTCAGTTATGGAAGGAGA